GGAATACATGTATTAATCGGATAAAGGCTCCAGGTTCCATAAATCTTTGTAAAGTATTCTCTCAAAAGCCATTTCCTCAGTCATTTCCCTTCATCTTCAGCCCTTGCACCACGAGTCTCATTGACTGATCGTTTGGCCTAAAAGTTTGTTTTTTTATAACACAACATCACCTCACATGAGTAAAATGTTTAAGATTTAAAAGAAGCAAAATACAGTTGATTTTGAAGGTGGAACACTCAGTCGCAATACCAGAGGAGTCCTCTTTTATGAAGTAGGTAACAGTAACAGCCAGGTGCGGTTTGTCCATAGAGCACGGTCGTGCAGTGCCGCCCAAACATTTTTAATGTTCTATTACGTAAAACACCCACAATAATTAAATAAAAGAAGCAAGAAACAAACACTAGCCAAATATTATATCGAAACTAAGTCCTCACTAGCGCCATAACTGTCATTTCTTTTCTATGTCTATAGCGCCGTAAAACATCTACTATGGCATGCCAAAGTCCACGCGCTTTAGCTAAACAGAAAAGGATATTCAACAGTGTAACCTGGTCTATAAATCGCTCTTGGGGATAACCCAAGCGATGACGACACTCGTAGCGAGTTTGGTGGCACATTAATATTAAAAAGACGGCACATCTCAAATGTGCTCCAGCCGAATAGTGCCGAAAGATAGCCCACAGTAGGCAGTCTAAAAATAAACACGAAAGACCCTACGCTATTCTTTGCCAATATTATGTGAGCCCCGGACCAATCCAGCGGAGTGCTCAAGTAAATAGTGACTGGTTCATTGTTTGTCTTGCCACTATTTTAAGTGACTCTGGGATCGTGAACCTGAGGGAGGTGAACGTGACCGTCCTATGAGTTGTCCCTTTGAAAGGTTTTGTCGTGGAGTAATGAAAGTTATTACTCGAGTATTCAGTTTCAATACAAGATGAACGAATTGATGTTTAGCTAACAAACAAATTTAGCACCTTGAAATCAAAGCCACAAGTAAAAAGAATGAAAATAAAAGCACGAGGCCCTCCCTCACCAACCCAAAGATCCTAAAATTATACACCGTCTCATTTACTATGCCCTTGACTATCTTCAGCATACGATAGCTTAATTATTATTGTGCACGTCCACTTTTTAGCCCCACGAGCCGCCCCTGGTAACAGCAACCCGAAATAACTCTTGAGTAAGGGAAACAATTACAATAAAAAATCTTGTTAAACAACAGTAAACAGAAAAACAGAAAAGCCGCTTTAATAAGACAAATCTAGAGGTTAAGGTGTTGGCCTCTTATTCAAAGGTCCCGGGTTCGATTCCGGGTAGCGACCAAAAAAATTTTTTCTCTAAAATTGTCTCCTTTCACATCCTTTCCTGATCTCTAACAATGTTCTGTTGTCTGCTTTCATTTCCACTTTCTGCCCCCACCCCCCTCACCTCCTTTGCCCCCTCCTCTGGGCTCCTGACTCTTTCTGCAGCCTTTCTACTGCTACTCCTTGGCTCCTCCTAACTGCTGTCTTTCTGCCACACCCCTGATCTTCTGGTAGGAAAGATCTACACCTAGCCTTCTCGGACAAGGGCGAAAAATCTCGGAGGGCCCGTGTGCAAGTTGCGCACGTTAAAGATCCCTTGGTGGTCTAAAATCGATAAGAGTAGGCTTCGGCCGCCACCCGGGCAAAATTCAAAATTTCCTACCAACGAAAAAGTATTAGGTGTGTCCCGCGCGCTCATATGACCTTATGCAGTTGCGAGCGCCGTAAAACCCTATACTAAACAAAAACAAAAGCAAACAAACAATGCAATTCCATATAATGTTAGACAATACTGAAAAAAAAGTCGTGTCCTGTAGTTTGGGTTGGTTTGGGGTTTTGTTTGGTATTTTTGTGAGTAAACACATAGAGGTCATCTTATCAACAATTCTGGTCATACCATTAATGACCTGACGCATCGGGATATTTCAGGTAGTACAGCTAAATTACTACACGGGCAGATATAGCGCCCTACCCGACCCCTCCTCTTAAATAAACTATAAATGTTGATAGGGGCGTTAAACCTTACCATTTCATAATATATTCATAGTAATGGCCTTCAGACACCAGGTCAACGACTTCTCCTATAATAGTACTGGCCACATAATGTCAAATATTAGGCGAGAGAGCTGCTAGAATGTTTAAAAAGTATATAAAGTCTCCATTATGAAACGACAGGCAACAAAGTTTGAACCCACACCTCCCAGTAACCAGGCTTACACTCAACCGTTAGGGTTAATTAATTTACTGACAAGGGGCTAGTCAACTTTTTAAATCCCATAACCGGCTACGTGCAAAATAAAACTATCGGTTGTGGTATTTAAGAAAAATCAAGTAGTATTTGGTCCCAACACTTATAATTTAACCTTTAGTTCCTTTAGTACAGAAATTTGTAAGCTTACGCTGCGCGTTTTAACCATAATCAGTTTTTTGTCCTTCCTGTAAAATTTGCCTTTCTGCATGTAGCCGGTTTGTGAATAACTCCGACAATACACACATAAGGGGCTCTCGTGGTCGAAAGGTTACAGTGTTCGCCTCTCAAACAATAGGATTCGGGTTCGAATACAGACCGCGACGGAAAATTTTCTGCTCTAATATGTTCTCCTTTCATTTCCTTTCCTGTTCTCTAACCATGTTCTATCTCCTCTTTCGTCTCTACTTTCTGCCCTCACCACTTACCCCTTTTGCATCCTCCCGTGGCCTCCTGGTTCTTTCTGCAGCCTTTTCTACTGCTACTCTTCGGTTCCTTCTTACTGCTGTGTTTTCAGTCACACACCTGATCATATAGTAGGTAAGATCTAACGCATAGGCTTCTCGGACAAGGGTGAAAAATATTGGAGGTCCCATATGTGCAAGTTGCAGTCGTTAAAGATTTCTTGGTGGTCCAAAATCGATAAGAGTAGGCTTAGGCCGCCACCCGGGCAAAATTCAAAATTTTCTACAAACTGAAATTGTTTAATGTGTCCCGCGCGCTCATATAACTTAATGCAGTTGCCAGCGCTGTAAAACAATTACTATAAACACACACACACACACACACACACAGACA